AATTCCTTAAGTACTGCGAGGAACAGAAGATTATCACTCTCTGTATGCCTCCTCATTCATCGCACCTGTTGCAGCCGCTTGACGTAGGCTGTTTTGCCCCATTGAAGCGGGCGTACTCTGCTGAGATTGACAGCTGGGCGAGGTACTCTGTCACGCAAGTCAAGAAAGAGACGTTCTTGCCAGCCTTTCGCATTGCTTTTGACAAGACGATTACAAAGGAAAATATCCTGGCAAGCTTCAGAGGCTCTGGTTTGGTACCCCACGACCCAGAGCGAGTGCTATCGAAGCTTGATGTGGTGCTTCGCACGCCGACACCTCCACCACTAGAGGCCACCCCATGGGAGTCAAAAACGCCAGCCACCCTAAAGGAGATAGAGGCGCAATCAACGCTAGTTCGTGAGCGCATACAAAGGCATAGAGAATTACTAATCTCTCCTCTTCTACAGGCTGTTGATTCGCTTGCAAAAGGCATGGCTATTATAGGTCACAATTCAGTGTTACAGGCGCGGGAACTGGCTGGTATTTGCAAGGCAATGGCTACTCTAACAGAGCAGCGCAGTCGCAAAAGAAAGTATATTCAGGTAGAGGAGAGTCTAACAGTAGGTGACGTACTAGATTTAATGGCTGAGAAGGACTGTAGTGGTGGGGAGGCAGCTGAACAGGGTGCAAAGAGGGTGCGCAAAGACCGACACTGTAGGCGTTGTGGCAAGACTGGCCACAATTCGCGCACCTGCACAGCAGAAATTATAGATTTAGATAATAGCGATGCTTCTGAATAATATTTTAGGCTATACTATGTTTTAGTGCAGCGTTGTGGTGTAGAGATAATTAACTACAATAGTCGCGATTTTAATAAGGGGTGACCGCTCGGTGGGGGTGACCGCTTGGTGGTGAAACACGTTATCACTTTAAAGTTGCAAAAGTTGGTAGGGTGACTAACTTGCTTGTCTGACTGACTCGCTTGCCAACCATGTTATGCTAGGTTACTATTTAATAGCAAGTAACGTACCCCACGGGCGAGTCGGACACACGGGCGAGTCGGACACTTTTGCCAAGACCCTACCAAAACACCCTTACTACACCAATGCCTCTCCACGAACGCCAGTCAGACGCGTTGAAAGAAGCTCAGATACAGCTTGCGCTTCAAGCTCTTAAACAAGACGCGACTCTCTCTCTACGGCGCGCTGCAGCTATCTATAGAGCTCCCCTACAGACACTAAGCGACTGACGCGCTGGACGACCTTCACGAGTTAATTCTATGCCCAAATCACGGAGCCTAACCAATACTGAGGAGCAGGTGATTGTTAATCATATACTTGAGCTAGACGCGCGAGGATTTTCCCCTCGGCTAGCAGCTGTGGCTGATATGGCCAATTCTTTGCGCGCTGAGCGCAGTCTAGGCCATGTTGGCCTAAACTGGCCCAGTACGTTTGTTAAGCGCCAACCAGAGCTCAAAGTGAAGTTTAATCGCAAGTATGACTACAAGAGAGCACTCTGCGAGGATCCTGAGATAATCCAGGGCTGGTTTAGCCTGGTAGCCAATATCAAAGCCAAGTATAGCATCCAGGATAACGACACGTACAACTTCAATAAGACAGGCTTCATAATAGGCTAGATATCCACTAGAGCAGTTGTTACAGCTTCAGAGAGACAAGGACGGCCAAAGCAGGTCCAGCTAGGCAATTGGGAGTGGACAACAGTTATTAAGGGCATTAATGCTAAAGGGTGGGCTATTCCGCCCTTTATTATCTTCTAGGGCCACAACCACCTCTCAAACTAGTACAAAGAGGATAATCTACCCTATAATTAGGTTATTAGGGTCTCTAAGAATAGCTAGACTACTAACAAACTTGGTCTTAACTAGTTAAAGCACTTTAACGCGCATACAAAGGAGCGTACTGTTAGCAGCTACTGTCTGCTAGTTATTAATGGTTATAAGAGCTACAACTCACTAGATTTCCAGGAATACTGCAAGGATAACAAGATTATTACTGTATGTATGCCTCCGCACTTATCGCATCTCCTGCAGCCACTTAATGTGGGCTGTTTTGCCCCTCTAAAGAAGGCGTATGGGCGCCAAGCTAAAGACCTCATGCGCAACTAGATTAACTACATTATAAAGCTTGAGTTCCTGCTATGCTTTAAAGCAGCCTACAATGCTGTATTCACCTTAAGCAATATCTAAGGAGGGTTCTGAGGCGCTAGACTAGTCCCCTTTAACCTAGAACAGGTTATAATAGGGCTTGATGTGAAGCTGCGCACTCTATCACCACAACTCCCTAATAATAACAAGCCCTAGCAGTCGCAAACCCCCAGCAATACCCTAGAACTTCAGTTGCAATTAACTCTGATTCGAGAGAAGTATAAGAAGTAGCAGGGTAGCTCACCCAATTCTGTGCTGAGCGCGCTTGAGCACTACGCAAAGGGGGGAGCGATTCTATCGCACAAGCTAGTTTTGGCGCAACAGGAGAACGCTGAGCTTCACGCAGCTCTAGCAGCTGCCACAGAACGTAAATCGCGCAAAAGAAAGCGAATCTAGAAGGAAGGGACCCTTACAGTTAAGGAAGGGCAGCAGATAGCAGCTCTAAAGGAGTTTAGGGCACGTGGTGATGGAAAGAAGTCAAAGAAGCGGGTGCGCGCTGAAGTGGGTGAGCCCTCCTAACAACGCTGTGGACGGTGCAATCAGACTGGGCACAACGCGCGAACGTGCAAGAATGATACAGAAGTAGTCTCTAAATAATATTCTAAGCTGTACTGCACCTTGCAGCGCCAGAGTGTGGTGTTTTGGGCCATAATAGGGTGAGGTTTAGTAGGGTCTTGGCAAAAGTGTCCGACTCGCCCGTGTGTCCGACTCGCCCGTGGGGTACGTTAGTTATAGTTGCAGTAACTTGTGTTAGTTGTGCTAAGAGAAATTAGCTAGCTTAGTGATATAGCTAGCTTAGTAATAATCTACGTTAGCTATTAAGAGTGTTCCTAATAAATTTTAAAGGTCTTAACACTTTGTAGATGTCCTACAGCTTAACATTGTTGTTCTAAGAGCCTAACACGATATGCTTGCTGTCTAGCAAGAAGGCTACAGCTATAACTAAGTTTAAGTAACCTTCTAGTGTTTTCACAAGAGATGTCTATGTTGCTTCTACTTATAGGAGGGCTTTTAGCCACCTAGGTATCTTGTCTAGATTTGCTGCCCTTACTACAGTTGTTTAGGGACTAAAGACTATTGCAAAGCTGTAGATCTGCAATAGCTATGTTGTAATAGTGTAGTAGTGTTGTAATAAGAAATAGATAGCATTATGTACAAGGGCTAACAAGGAAAAGTCAGGCTTTAGATAGCTTAGTCACGCTTCTAAGGAAGATTTTTATTGTTAAGGGTACTTACATTGCTTGCGTCTGCTAAAGTCTTTAATGCTTTAATCCTACGCAGTAGCTAGTCTAGCAAACTTAGGCATTCGAACCACTCCAGCAGCTTAGCACGCAGGAACGTAACAACCTTGCCCTGATCTCCAAGGGTATTTGTTACTAGCGCGTTTGGCGTACTGTCTGCGAGATGTTGTGCCCAGAATGTGGCTGCATAATCTGCCTTGTCCAGCAGTCCCTGTCCCGCCATCTCTGGAAGCCTCCTTATTGATCCTCTTCTAGAATCAAGTTAGGGTAAGCTCACTGGGTTGACCTTGAGCTGCTGAGAAAGGTAGCGTAGACAGCTTAGCACAATTTCTGTATGCTCCTAACTCACGTATGAGCTTAGAGTGGTTTGCATCTCCTAGGCCAGATAGTCTCGTGCTGACTAGTAGACAGACTTAATGCTTGCTCCTTTCTTCCTAACAAAGGAAGCGCACCTGTTAATTAGCAGATTAATCTCTAAATCTTCCTAGGGCAAACCTGTTACACTGCTCACTTCTTCCTCTCTAAGAGGGCAATAAGCTGTCAGCATCACCTTGAGAAGTCGCATAGACCTTTTAACGACAGCCAGCTCTCCTTCACAGAGCTTTTCAAGTATCTAACAACAGAACAGCGTTAGTCCAGGTGGAAGCTCTTTGATTGTTGTTAAGACGTTGGCTTGATTAACACTATCAAGCCTCTTGCACACCAAGCTAACCTAAAGGTAGGTATCCTTAGCTTTCTTAGTAAGCTCGGCCTCAAGCTGCTTACATAGAGCTAATCCATAGCAATAACAATAATTAAGCTAAAACACCTTTTTAGCAATATAGCTCTTGACTGCTTTAGAAACATGGCTTAAGTTCAGCTCTAAGCTAACCATCACCTGGTCAGATGCGCTAAGCAGCTCACGTCCAGCACTATTGATCGGCTGGCTTGTCAACAGCCACTTAACTTTTAAGCTGAATCCTGTCTGTACAATAAGCTGCAAGAATGCGGCCATGTCCTGGTTCTGACATTTTTTAAGAGCGTTAATAACCATATATATTCTTTAACTCTTGCAGTGGTGCAGCATTTCTAGAAGAATGCTCTAGAGCGCTCGCCACAAGGTAAGATTTTCTTAAAACCACCTGTTGTTATTGTCCTATTAGCGACGCAAAGGTTTGTATAGCTCCTTCCTCTAGTTTACTAGGCACAGGATTAGCCCTTTTATAATACCCTTAATAGTGTTGAGCTCGTAGTTGGTGTTCTAGCAGAAGAAGTACGCTATTAAGGGAGGCTACTCATGAGGACAGGAGGGCTGCTCAAGATACTTAATGAGGCCTATAGACATCATCGTCTTTCCTTTGCCTGCGCCACCCTTGATCTAGAGAAGGGATACGTCTTCGCTGTTCTGCCATCGCACATACTAGGCGTCCTAAAAAACCCATTCAATCAATTTGGGTAGCAGCTTGTCTTTTTCCTTGAGCCTAATCCTGACGTCTAGCGTGTTTGGGCATCGTAGAGCGTGGAGGCCAGCCTTGATAGCATCGCACTGGCGCAACAAATTGCAGATACAACACGACCCCAAGTTACTATTAAGGACAATTACGCTGGCGAAGGCAGTCGCGCCATATTTAGTATGGACACGTCCCAGCCAGTGTTCAACTTGACAGTGGTACGCAATGAGGCTAGGGTCAGTGCGGTGTCCAGCGCTGGCGTTCACAGCCCACAGACCCTGCAAGCACTCTTGCAGCATTCTCGAACGCCCGATCTCGTGCTTGCACTTCAGGCCCTGCGGACACAATTAACTGTCCTTAACAACATATCCGCCAAACAGAATCAGGCAGGCCTGCACCCTCCTATGAGCAGTCTTCTGACTGAATCAAGCAGTCTCCTAACTGAATTAGGCAGTCTAGACTTAAGCAGTGACAGGCAACCTGTCCACTCTGTTAGGCCAACGCCTGCAAGTTTCGAAATGCTTTAGAATTAGTTGGACTGGACAGGTTAGAGAATGATAGAGCACAAAGAAACTTGTTGCGGCAGACGTAGCCGCTGTATATTGATGGAAAGCTGCGCTGAGTTGCTTGCTAGCTAGGAGGCGACCATATATACATGCTCTGAGGCGTGCTAGTCGAAGGTAGTCAACAGGAGTGAAGATCAAGGCCTATAGGAGCGACTCGTACCGCAACAGTATCTGACCTTTGAGAAGATTCTACAAAGAACTATTTTTGGCACCTTCGCTTGCGAACGGCCTCTATGCCACTTGTCCCTCTGCTCTCCCTGTGCCTGTTCTGCTGTCCTGCGACCACATACCATTAAGATAGACCCAGCTAGCAAGGCACTCGCAGTTGCTTATGCTGCATGCAATCTGCTAGTAAGCCTTGTGCTTGGCGGCGTGTTGTGCTGTAGAAACTGCCTATCGCACGTGTCCGAACATTCAGCAACTTCAAACAATACATTGTGTGCTAGTAGCTCTACTCTGAGTCCTCGCGCTAACAGGCGCTACCCACACGGACGAAGCACTCGCTGCCATTAACAACGTCATGACCATGGAGACCTTTTCGCTTCTTGACAACGAGCAACAGGCTAGCCTACATGACGACCTTAGTTTGTACGAAGCGCACAAGACTAGGCTGCTTAGGGTGGACCTAGAGACACGGTCGCGGACCGACCCGTTCCAGCGCTGGCTCCACAAGCACTTGTGGGCCTTTTGCTACTAGAGATTGTTGCGAAAGGCTCAGAGCAACAGCGAAGGTCTTGGATTGGTCGCTAGTTAGCAGCGGTGGACGTACTAGAACACGATACTGATAGCTGAGGTCATCAGCTGTGTGACAACTGCAGCGTTGACGGCTGTCTTCATTATTGCACTGTTAGCTATTATGTCGCACAAGTTGTCAAGGAACGTTTAGCTAGTAGTTGTTTTAGTGTGCATTATTATTTTGTCTTTTCTTGTAGTTATTGCTCTTCCTAAAGGTGTCAAGCCTTAACATAATGGCAATGTCTGCTAGGTACGCTGCTGTGCTTTTAGTGTTTGTTTCTAATGTTCCTGCAAGTGCGGAGCATTTATTGCAGACCGCTGCGCTGATGGGAGATGGATCAGTCTAGCAGAGTACAGAACCTAGCGATAGACACAACTGAAGCAAACCATGCAAATGCTGGGAGTGGCCTGAGTAAGGTCAAATCTGTCTAAAGAGAAGATATCGCGAAAAGTGGACAAAACAATGGCTCACGGCACACAGCTCGCAGCATACGACTTGCAGCGCACGACTGCTGGCTTCCGGCTGCTCACGACTCCCAGTGCACGACCAACGCGCAAGCCACGCAGCGCAGCGCAGCTCAGTCCGCTAAGGCACGTCGATTAGTCTGAGGCGGGACACTGCTATCAAGCTAATAAGCCGACAACGCCCCCTTTGCGCGCTCGCCCGTGAGGGGTGATAACTCCGCCCCACTGCCAGCTAGCGCTTACGGCTGCCCCGACAGGACCAGCCGCACCACTGATTGTCCATCATGCCGACATGTAGGCGACAGACTGCAGCGTCAGCCGCAAGGCTGAGGCTGAGCGACAGCACCTGTCGACAGTGCTGCTGCTGCCAGACTCTGATCACTCCTTTCTTCCCGCATGCATCGACTCACGATAGTCATTCATCCTTTTGTCCTCTCTGTCCATTCCCCTCTTGTCGTAAGCGCCCCGAATGCAACGCCAGCGACGCCAGCCATGCCGCGAAGACTACACCGTAGGATGGGTGTGCGCGCTGCCTGTCGAGCGGGCAGCGGCCCGGGCGATGCTTGACGAAGAATACGAAGATGCTGCCCACAAACTCAGCAATAACGATCAAAACGTATACTGCTTGGGATCGGTTGCGGGCCACAACGTTGTGATCTGCTGCCTACCAGCAGGCCGCATTGGAACCAACCCAGCGGCAGCTGTGGCGACACAGATGCTGGCAGCATTTGAGGGCATCTGATTCGGCCTGATGGTGGGCATCGGCGGAGGCGTCCCCAGCGCAAATGCAGACATCCGACTTGGAGACGTGGTGGTGAGCCAGCCGCAGGAGCGCTTCAGCGGAGTGGTTCAGTACGACTTTGGGAGAAAAACGCCAGACGGGCTTCAGCGGCTTGGATCGCTAAACTCACCACCTCAAATATTGCTCAGCGCTGTAGGCACTGTACAAGCAAATGCAATGATGGGGAAGAGCACGCTGCTGGACCACCTATCATCACTTGAGCGAAACTCTACCTTCCAGCGCCGCAACGCAGGGCCCGATCTTCTGTTCAAGGCAGCCTACAGCCACAAACACGGTGGCACGTGCGACCAGTGTAGCAGCGAGTCTCGAGAGTCACGACCAGAACGCGAGAGCGGAGCAGAGGTGACGGTACACTACGGCACGATCGTATCTGGCAACCAGGTGATGAAGGATGCTGCTGAGAGGGACAGAGTCAGCGCGGAGCTCGGCGGGGT